GAGCTCGTGTACGGAACCGCCCAATCCGCCCACACCATCTGTCAGTCCACAAGTCTTGGGTAAGCCTCATTTTAGCCTTCTGCCTATGCGAATTTCGGTTTTTATTTCCATTACTCTCATATTGGATAAACCTATTGCTGAAGTAGTGCATTTGTCATTAGGACTGTGAATTAGTCTTCTACTTAGTCTGTATCGTTCCTCTGTATTATTTATGAGCTTGCCTAACAGATTCTTAGCCAATTTGTCCCGGTTTCGATACCGTAAGTCTCGTCTCCGCAATTGTATAAAGTTTGTTTTATTAAAACTTATTAGATTTTACGTTTCGTTCTCTGATAAGATTATTTTCTATCGAACTCCTCAAATCAAGTCAGATCGGATCGGGATATCGTTCTCGTACGTTCAGTTCATTAATTCATCCTCTTTCCCGTGTCACAGTCCGTAAGTGGTGGCACAAACCTCTCGTGTTTCTTACTTACTACAAGTTCCGCCCGAAAAGGTTGAGGTTCTGCTAAAATTTCCGATAAACTNNTATTATTTTGGTTGTTTGTTGTAGTCCCCGTGGCTGTAAAGTTGTGTATGCATGCTCAAGCCGGCCACTCAGTTCGGTTCTTGCAACCATTAACCATGCACTTTCGTGCACTGGTTTTGGTTACCCGTTTGGATAAAACAGCAGAATGATGATTAGAATGCTGACAGTAGATCCAAGTGGAAGATAGCCCCAGTTAACCCGCTCTTACGTCCATCTAAAGGGTTGTTTTGATCGGTAAACTGCCCCTCACCGTGTTTATTTGCTGGAGTGACCTCTCCAGGGACGGGTGTGGATAGAAAAAGGAGGCCAGGAGGTGCCCAAGCAGCTGGCCTTGTGAAACTGATCTTCGTCTCACCTCTACTCGTTGCCTTTCAGGCATGATTGGATCTGCGGCTGTGAGGAGCCATCCTGTATAGCTCGCACAAGCCCTTGCGCAAGCCATCACACCACGTCAAGGTGCAGTCTCGTGGTGATGGAAGCCGGTCACTACAATTCAATACAATCTTTAGGATCGCTCTTTCTTCATAATGACCACTAACCATACATAGTGCTTTACTGTTGAACAGTTACGACTTAACAATCAGCTAGGGACGAGTTATCCAGCGCCGTGATGTTTTCGCATACTACTGGCGTATGACAACGTCAGCACCGCCATGAATGAATCTTACTATGAAGGCAACTTGGGATGTCAATGTCTGACTCTTTCCATCAGTCAGTAATTCTTGCTCCATCATGATGAGACTGCATAATTGACATGGTGTGATAGCTTGTGCACCTCTGTGACCCAACGAGCTACACAGGATGACTTTTGTTGAGCCAAAAAGTTCTGATCATGCGTGTATGATCAAAGGTTGAATACCAGACAAACTGAGGCCGCACTGGTGAATTAGATACCCGTGTTTATGCGCAATGAGACTCCGGGGTTCAGTTAGTGTTCGGTACGGAAGAAACGACAAATGGTGTTTGTTAGCGTATGCACCAACCAACTGCAAACCCCGTTCCACAAAATAACGAATTTTGCGAGAAACACACTAAACTTGTTCGGTTGATATGCTGCTCTGATATTATAGTGTTGGCAGGTGATTTCACCACACGGTTTTGAATAATAAGCGCACTCGAAGCCTCTCTGAAAGGGTGCCTTGCTCTGCTCACCCAGTGAACAGACAACGGAAATCGACTACTTCAGTTCTGTGCAGACCATTGGTTGTTCTTATCTAACACCAACTTTCAACAAATCTCTCGTCGGACGGCAACATGGTGTTCTTCTTCAACGGGCAAGTTGACCCGAATTGACCACATAGCTATAAACTACCACTAAAGTGGCTCGGTACAAAATTGCAGATCTTACTGGTCTATGTGCGTTGAGTCTAATTATGCGCTAGTTCTGATGTGCTCCACACTTCCACTCATTCGTCATCGGTCAAAATCGTTTCATCATCGTCTGAGTGACCCAACCATTTGCCCACCTGATACATAGAAGATTGGACAGGAGCTAGGAACTCCGTGATGTGTCAGTAGTGGAACCAGTTGCATTCATCACCTAGTTTTACTTGTGCAACCGATCTCGAAGCTATTCAAAAATATCATCTCTCATGAAAAAGCGAAGGATCCAAACCTTCAATGATCATTGTAGGAACCGTTGGTGTTTGCAGCGTCAGTTTGGGTAGTTTTAAGAAAGATCGCCAAAACTGGTGGACGAAAAGAATGCGGGCCTTGTCCCGGCGATTTCGAGTGGGTAGTCCACGTTGGTTAAGATCTGTATTGTAGATGTCTTTTTACTTCCAGTTTTATTTATTGAATATACACATGTACAGTCAACTTTCAGGGAGGAGGCCGAGGCCATACAAAGGCTGTCTGATAAAATACAGAAATGACGCAGAAATGCAATATGAAGAACTGCACAGAGTTGGTGTTTCGGGTCTTCCAGATTAAGGTTCAAAACGATCTATTCGAGACATTTAACGACATGATAGCAAACTGACTCCAGCGACATTCTTGACATCTATGTATCATATCGGTACACTGGAAGAGATGTATATGCATAATTGAGTGTCGTAGACCGTGGCACTCGTGTGTCAACTCATTCTTCTTGTAACCCCAGTCTATGTGAATTATCTAGTCTCTCTTTGACTCTGCTCTCCAATCGTCCAATCTTCATTCTGCTCTTTTATCCAAATGGGCAGCCGAAAGATAACAACCAAAACCGGCGCATGAAAAAGCATTTTTAATGGTTGTAAAAACTGGAACTGATTCTGTGCGCTTCCGAACACCATTTACTTCACTTAATTTCCAATTGTCTGATCGTTGATCTGGACTAGATCTGTGCTCTGTATAACTAAAGTTAGATGGTGGTAGTAAGGTTCGAGTATTAAACGCATAGATGTTTGTGTTTGCTTCCTGTTGTTCTATGATTGTCTGTTTTCTCTGTCGTTGCCATACCCATCGATCTTTGTCCACAGGTTTGGATGCATGGATATTCGCGAGTATTGTCATTTTCGTCGTATCTGTGCTAATTTTTGCCACTTACGAGATCGCTTCACATATCTACCGGGGTCGGCACTCGACGGTGTCCGAAATTGACGTTGACCCAGATCTGATGATTGACTCGGGCAATCTCATTCATCGACTTCGAGCATGGCTTGAAGATAAACTGTCTCAGGTAAGTGGTGTTTTTTCTTCTCTTTGTCCGTAATCCATTTATTACATCCGAACTCAGTCTTTATGAACTTCATTAATTACTACGCATAATTGTCTGACGTGCAACAAACTAACAAAAAATATCCAGTGAAACAAACAAACAAAATTGCTATTCGCCTTAGTAACGACAACTGCTTTGTGTCCTCCCTTCGCTATCTTCGGTTAGTTTTTATTACGTTGGCACCAAGCTTACTCGCAATTCGATGGTAAATATATGTTTGCGGAAGTATAGTGTAAATCTCCATCATCAGCCGACTTTTTTATTTCGCGGCTACACCTGTAGCCATTGCGTAAACAACTATCAAGAGGTCTCTGTAGGCTCATTCTCTGTTTAATACATGTGGATACGACCCAGGGATTCCTGCATCTCTGATAATTGAGCGGATTTCATTTCTAGTTGTTCTAAGATGCAGTGCATCTGGTCCACTTATTAAGGGTTTGCTGCGGGTTTTACGACTCGCTTACCCTCAATGTGGTTTAGTCTGCCAGTTGAGCGGGGTTCGACCTCGATGCGTGTCTCCGCTTGTTGAAACCACTAGTGAATATCGGACAACTAAAGGTCCAGAAGGTGCAGTGTGCCCCAAGGGCCACACCACGCCACCCGTTATGAAGTGCTACTTCTATCCCTCTTCTGAATCTCAGTACCACATGTATTCGGAAGTACAGTTAAATACTGCCTAATCCCGGGGCTACTTATGCCATCTGCACATGGATAAAATGGTCAGCTCATCCTAACCGCCACACTGTCGTCAAACAGGATCAGCCCAGTGACCTTTATCCCAGTGCAGGTGTCTCTTCATATACTGACTATCAGTTTCCAGATGCACATTCCGTTCGACATAACGTTTGCCGATTGATGTTTGTTTGTTTCCAATCTTGTCTATTCGTGTCTCGAGCTGTTGTGTCTGGGTACAGTGGACTTTTGAATAAGTTGTGGTCACATTATGACAATAATCCGGTTAGGTAGACCGTTTAAATGCATCTGGTGTGTAATCGATTACTTATATGTGCCATACTACCTGAAATCGGCCATTTGTTGGAATTCGATCGACAATCACATGCTCTAACTAAGAAACGAGTTTTTCAATTTTGATATTCTCGTTCGTTAATTATATGACTACTTTTTCATTTGTTTCCCATTTTTATCGTTCATTGTTCTTTGCTACCGAAACTCAGGGTTTTTCAATTCTCGGTCGATCTATCGCTACTCATCCATTTGTGAGTCTGTCCGTTTCAAGCGTGGTATCGATCGCCCTGTGTGCCGGTTTGTCCCTGTTCTCGGTCACCACAAATCCCGTTGAGTTGTGGTCTGCGGCAGACTCACGATCACGTTTGGAGAAGAACTACTTTGATCAAAACTTTGCGTACGTCATCAATGATATTTTTGCAAACTCTCTAGGATCTTATTTTTCCAGTTGTTATTTGGCAGATTGAAGTATTATGTTCAGGTAGTGAAAATTCAGTAGCGGCGATGGGATTCAAACCCACGCATGGACACCACCTACACTTTTATACAGTGCACACTCTACCAGCTGAGCTACGAGGCCACACCGAAAGCACTGGTTTTTTTCATATCCAAATCACCCATGCCGTATGCCTCTGTAAGTTAGATGGGTGATATGAATGTGCAAGGATCAGTGCTATTGGTGTAACCTCGTCACTCAACTGATAGAGCGTGCGCCTGGGTTCGAATCCCACCGCCGTTGCTGAGCTTTTCGCACTTTCAACATAAGATCTTATTTTATCAGTTTCCCTGTGGGTTTAAACTTCCCTGTAGCGATCCCCTAGTCAATTAATCAACTATTGAGCCTCCTAACCAGTGAGCCAGTCGTTTCTGGCCTATACTACGCCTTTTCTAATCTGATGAATTGCTCAAGATCTAAGGAACTCAACTGAGGAAGAATTGTCAAGTTTCGATTAATTGTTCGACTCTTACTGCTAGCCCTGAACTATGAGTACGTTGTATCTGTTGTTTTTCGAACAAGAATGGATTCTAAAGACACAGAGGCAGGGCAAAGGTTTCCCTTTTTCGTGTATTGTTTCATTTCTCTCTCTCTCTTCTTTCTGTGTGACCGTCTCAGACCATTTTATCGAACCGAACAGCTGATCGTATATCCAGTCAACCAGTCGTTTTTCTGGCATATGAATTTGCACCCTTTGTCCGGAGATGCTCTATTCGGTCCAGCGTTGCAGAAGGACTTTCTGACTGAGGTTTGTTTCGTATTGCCTAGCCTAATCGTCAGACACTGTATTGTTGTTGTTGTTCTGCGCTTCCGATACGTTTTTATTCATTTTCGTTTCACATTTCACTAAATCCCAGAGTTATGTTCCCTCCTTCTTCCTTGTTTTCCCGGAAAATGTGTCTAGTTTTCATACAGATTTTTGCTTATATCAGAGAAATCTGCGGTAGCTGTATTTTCGTTTTGCCCAGACCAATTGAGTTACGATGAAAGCCTGATTTGTTTTGCACTATTACTATCCTGACCCCGATGCACCTCTGTTGACAGCATCCCCTCATGTTTTGATCAACAGGCACCACAGTTCAA